GGGGGAGAGTATACCTCAGATGAGTTTTTTTACTTTCTCCGATAATGCCGAGTACGCCATCAGTTCACATGTGCCAACACTCCACAGCAAAACGGCGTAGCAGAAAGAAAGAACAGGCACCTAGCAGAAATCTGTCGAAGTATGCTTCATGCAAAGAATGTTCCAGGACGGTTTTGGGCAGAAGCAATGAAGGCTGTAACTTTCGTAATCAATAGGCTTCCTCAACAAAGGTTAAGTTTTTCATCACCCTTTGAAAAATTGTGGAACATAAAGCCTACATTTAGCTATTTTTGAGTTTTCGGATGTGTTTGCTATGTCTTTATACCTAGTCATTTACATAGCAAGATGGACAAGAAGGCTGCCGGGTGTATTTTTGTAGGATACGATAGTCAATGAAAAGGGTGGAGATGCTGCGATCCTACAACTGGAAAGCGTTACACATCTCGAAATGTGGTGTTTGATAAATCATCTTCATGGTGGTCCTCAGAAAAGGAGATATTACCAGATTCAGATGTTTTTAAGGATGAGTTGCAATCTACTCAAATCCAATTAAGCTTAGGTGAAACTAAAAATGCAGCTGATGGTGATATCGGAGATGTTGAAACTCAAAGTCCTTGGCAAACTGGTGTGGATGGACAACCAAGCGAAGAAGGTGAGCCTAGTGAAGCTGAAGCACCAATTCCACTCAGAAGATCAGCAAGAACCAAGAAGCCAAATCCCAAATATGCCAATGCTGCCATAGTAGAAGATGCAAACGCAAAAGAACCAAGTACTTTCACAAGGTGAAGTTGTTATGTCGGGAAATTTCCGAGTTGGATCCAGAAGCTCAAATTGGTGAAACCAGGGTGAAGAGAATAATCATTCATGGTTTGAGACTAGAATTCAGAGGCTTTGTTGCTACAGTATAGGGATGGCAAAACCAACCATCACTTGTTGAGTTTGAGAATTTGCTTGCTGGTCAGGAAGCTTTGGCTAAACAAATGGAAGGGGTTTCACTTAAGGGTAAAGAGGAAGCGCTTTATGCTTATAAAGGCAGGTGGAATTCCAAGCAGTGCACCGTTAGCAGAACTAAAAAGAATGAGGACAAGGCAAAAAGTAATCAAGGTGAAAGGAGCACCCGTGTTGAGGGAGATTCGAAGAATCCTGACACCAAGAAAAAATTTGAAGGGAAGTGTTATAATTGCGGGAAGAAGGGTCACATGGCAAAAGATTGTTGGTCGAAAAAAGGGCTTGTGGAAAGTAATGCTGCTACTTCCAAAAGCGAAGATGAGTGGGACGCTCAGGCATCTTTTGCTGCAATAGAAGAATCAGCTTTTACAGCAACAACGTTTGAACAGATTGATTATGAGAAAGATTGGATCATTGACTCAGGCTGCTCAAATCATATGACGGGTGATAAAGAAAAGCTGCAGGATTTGTCGGAGTACAAGGGAAGACATGTGGTGGTCACAGCGAACAACTCAAAGCTACCGATAGCTCACATTGGTAATACGGTAATCTCTCCCCAATATAATACTAATGATGTGTCACTTTAAAATGTCTATCACATCCCAGGTATGAAGAAAAATCTTCTCTTGGTAGCACAATTAACATCTTCAGGTCATCTTGTTCTGTTTGGCCCTCAAGATGTGAAAGTTTATCGTGACCTTGAGATTATGGAAGAGCCGGTGCTAAAAGGATGAAAACTAGAGTCAGTCTATGTGATGTCTGCAGAAACTGCATATGTAAACAAGACCAGAAAGAATGAGACAGCAGATCTATGGCATATGCGATTAAGTCACGTTAGTTACTCCAAACTAACTGTGATGATGAAAAAGTTAATGCTGAAGGGACTTCCACAACTTGAAGTAAGAAAAGATACAATTTGCGCAGGATGTCAGTACGACAAAGCACATCAGTTGCCATATGAAGAGTCAAAATGGAAAGCAAAGGGGCCGTTAGAGCTAATTCATTCTGATGTGTTTGGACCTGTTAAGCAAGCCTTGCTCAGTGGGTTGAAGTACATGGTGACCTTTATTGATGATTTTTCTAGGTACATGTGGGTGTATTTTATGAAAGAAAAATCTGAAACTTTCTCAAAGTTTAAAGAATTCAAGGAAATGACAGAAGCAGAGGTTGATAAAAGAATCTGTTGCCAGCGTACTGACAATGGGGGAGAGTACACCTCAGATGAGTTTCTTTACTTTCTCCGAGAATGTCGAGTACGCCATCAGTTCACATGTGCCAACATTCCACAGCAAAACGACGTAGCAAAAAGAAAGAACAAGCACCTAGTAGAAATCTGTCGAAGTATGCTTCATGCAAAGAATGTCCCAGGACGGTTTTGGGCAGAAGCAATGAAGGCTGCAACTTTTGTAATCAATAGGCTTCCTCAACAAAGGTTAAGTTTTTCAGCACCCTTTGAAGAAAAATTGTGGAATATAAAGCCTACAGTTAGCTATTTTCGAGTCTTTGGTTGTGTTTGCTATGTCTTTGTACCTAGTCATTTACGCAGCTGTAACAAGCCCCGCGGGGGGAGGACCTCGCTACAGTTCGGACTCTCGATTTTGTGTCACGGTTCTTAATCTGAACCAAAGAGTCCAAATCTGAGGGTGGAGATGCTGCGATCCTACAACTGGAAAGTGTTACACATCCCGAAATGTGGTGTTTGATGAATCATCTTCATGATGGTCCTCAGAAAAAGAGATATTACCAGATTCAGATGTTTTTAAGGATGAGTTGCAATCTACTCAAATCCAATTAAGTTTAGGTGAAACTAAAAATGCAGCTGATGGTGATATCGGAGATGTTGAAACTCAAAGTCCTTGGCAAACTGGTGTGCATGGACAACCAAGCGAAGAAGGTGAGCCTAGTGAAGCTGAAGCACCAATTCCACTTAGAAGATCAGCAAGAACCAAGAAGCCAAATCCCAAATATGCCAATGCTGCCATAGTAGAAGATGCAAACGCAAAAGAACCAGAGACATTTGAAGAAGCATTTTAGAATCCAGACTGGAATAAAGCTATGGAAGAGGAAATTACAGCATTAAAACAAAATCAAACTTGGGAGCTCATGCCAAAGCCAAGAGATGTAGAACCTATTTCATGCAAATGGGTTTATAAGATAAAGCGTCGCACAGATGGATCAATTGAAAGGCACAAGGCTCGTTTGGTAGCTCGAGGATTCTCTCAACAATATGGACTAGACTACGATGAAACGTTTAGTCCAGTTGCAAAGCTTACAACTGTACGAGTCTTACTTGCACTTGCAGCTAACAAAGATTGGAACTTGTGGCAGATGGATGTGAAGAATGCATTCTTACATGGAGAGTTGGATCGGGAGATCTATATGAATCAACCGATGGGCTTTCAGAGTCAAGGTCATCCTGAATATGTGTGTAAGTTGCGGAAGGCACTCTACGGATTGAAACAAGCACCCAGGGCATTGTATGGTAAGATTGCTGAATTTCTAACTCAAAGTGAGTATTCAGTAACACTTGCAGATTCCAGCTTGTTTGTTAAAGCTAATGGAGGAAAGTTAGCTATTGTACTTGTATATGTAGATGATCTAATCATCACTGGAGATGATGTTGAGGAAATTTGTCGAACGAAGGAGAACTTGTCAGTTCGTTTCCAGATGAAAGAACTTGGACAACTTAAGCACTTTCTTGGGCTAGAGGTGGATCGTACACAAGAAGGGATATTTCTCTGTCAACAGAAATATGCCAAAGATTTGTTGAAAAAGTTTGGGATGCTCGAATGTAAACCGATCTCAACACCGATGGAACAGAATGCTAAGATGTGTGCACACGATGGCAAAGACTTGAATGATGCAACAATGTATCGGCAATTGGTGGGTAGTTTGCTTTACTTAACTTTAACTAGACCCGATATCTCTTATGCAGTTGGTGTGATGAGTCGATACATGCAAAATCCAAAGAAGCCTCATTTGGATGCAGTTCGACGAATTTTGAGATATGTGAAGGATACAATGGATTGTGGTCTGTTGTACAAGAAAGGTGAAGATTGCAAGCTAGTTGGCTACTGTGATGCTGATTATGCAGGAGATGACGACACCCGTAGATCAACTACCGGGTATGTGTTTATGCTTGGATCAGGAGCAATTTCATGGTGTAGCAAGAGACAACCGACTGTATTTCTGTCAACAACGGAGGCAGAGTACCGAGCAGCAGCAATGGCAGCTCAAGAGAGTACTTGGCTAATACGGCTGATGAACGATCTACATCAACTAGTGGACTATGCCATTTCATTGTACTGTGACAACCAGTCAGCAGTTCGTTTGGCGGAGAATCCAGTCTTTCATGCAAGAACAAAACATGTGGAAGTGCATTATCATTTTATCAGGGAAAAGGTTCTGGAAGAAGAGATTGAGATGAGGCAAATTAAATCAGAAGACCAAGTCGCAGACTTATTCACAAAAGGTCTAATTGGCAGCAAATTTGAAAGCTTTTGTCATCAGCTCGGCATGATAAAGAGTTTGGAAGCTGATGTTGAGGGAGAGTGTTAGAGTTATCAACATCAGCATGTGACTGTGAGGATGTGTTGAACAAGTCAAGTTTGTTTTGTTTTAGATATGCCTCTGTTCAGTTTTTTTTAATAAGTTAGGAATTGTCCTAGTCTTAGAGAGGTTGTTGCAGCATGTTGTTGCACATGTTATCTTTCTGTTCCTATTTTTTAGTAACTTTTTGTTGATGGTTTTGCCTATAAAAGGCTTGTGTCAGGTGAAGTATTATGATTATCACATCAATAAAAGTATTTCTTTCCTCCTCTGTTTGCCTCAGTTATAGATTCTGTTCTACATTTGTGTTTTTAATGTAAACACATTTGTCACACTCATTAATTTTGAATCCATTTGACATCATTGCCTTGTCAAATTTCTCATGCCATTGCTTTGGCGCTTGTTTTAAACCATATAATGATTTAACCAATTTACACACTTTCTTTTCTTTCCCTGGAACAGAAAACCCTTCTGGTTGTTCCATGTAAATTTCTTCATTTAACTCACCATTTAAGAAAGAGCCATTGCATGATCTCAGATTGCTCGATTTCATCAACAATGTCTTGAACAAGGGGACCAACAGGGACAACCTTCTTCTCATTTATAACCGACAGATAATCAATGTATTTTCCTTCAAGCTCTCTAAAAGTGTTGAACAGCAAGATGTTGCAAGATGGTTTGCCAGTTACAGGGGCATCTTGTTTGTTTTGGGGATGATTTACTGCAGACAACAGCGTATTGTGATACCGCTTTTCATGGAATTCCCTAAGCTTAATTTCCGGAAATGGGAATTCAACACCGCCATGGTTCTTAATGAAATGAATACTATAAGAAACCACTGTAGTTCCTGTAGTCATGAACTGAACTATCGGAATATTAAACGGGGATGCAATGGTTGGTACCCATGCCTGGTTGATGTCATAAATAACTAAATCTGGGCTTAGTGTTTTGAAGATGTTGGAGGCATTTGGGATTGCCATATCCAAGGCGGTTAGGAGGGTGGAATTGAGATGGGTTGGGAGGCCATTTGTGGTGTGGTAGTGAGGAGGAAGCTCAGGCAAGGATGGAAGGTGGATTTCTACTAATTCAATGGAGTGAGAGTCACTACAAGAAAACATAGCAAAAAACACGGATTTTTAGCGACGCCGCGCCCCCCGTCGCAAAAAACGGTTTTTTGCGACGGTAACTGCACCTGTCGCAAATAATACCCCTTTAGCGACGGTACTGACCCGTCGGTAATGAAACAGTACTTTTCAGTGATTCTATTCTTGATGGATTTAAGATTGAGAAATGTTAGAGATCATAAAAATTTTGTCATGAAAAGGATCATGAAAAATTTGTGACCCTTAGATTACCTTGATTAGTGTGTGGTACTTTATTGTAAGTGTAATCCAAAGATCACAAATCATTCATGACCATTTTCATGAAAGACTTTCATGATACCTAGCATTGCTGTTTGAGATTTATTGGTGTAGAACACACATATATGTGGAAATTTCTGTGTGAGTTTCTTGGCAAGCTCTAGGAAGGGAGAGATGTGACCATGGGCCAACCATGGTAGCATTAGGACACTGAGTGAGGGTGTGTTTGATTGGACGGACTGAAAAAGGGGGATTAGAATCCATCGGACTTGAGTCCTGGGACTGTGAATCCCCCGAACTATTTGGTCGGATTGGATATGTATCCTGTTTTTGTTTTTTCATGAGATTAGATGTCTGGATAGGACTATTTTCAGTGAATCCAACGTTTGGTTGGACAGACTGGATAGGATAAATAAACAAAAGACTATTTTGCCTTTTTTCAATTGTTTACTAAGTAATAGTAATATTAAACATATCTTTAATATTTTAATTATTTTTAATTAAATAAATTTGCCTTTTTTTAAATTAAATTAAATAAATAATAAATATCATAAAATTTGTTTTAAATCCATTACTGTATAACAAATGCATTATTTTTTTTTTACATACAAACACTTTACTGTGTTTGTTTATTTACACAATTAATATAATTTACTGTGTTTGTTTATTTCACACAATTAAATAAATTTATTTTTTTACACAATTAAAATAAATTAAATAACCACTAAATTTGTTTATATTATTTTTTAATTAAAATTTTAAATAAAACACCTATTACAATTTCATAAATGAATTAAAATAAATTATAAACAAAAATTTTAAAAATAAAATATCTATAAAATTTATTTAAAAAATTAAATAAATAAAAGCATCAATAAAAAGTTAAATAAAATTATTTTATTTTTATTGAGACATTTAAATTTTATTGAATTTTAATTTAAATATAATACATTAATTAAATAGTAGAGGGTCAAAATGGTCATTTTCGCCTCTAATCCCAACAGTGGATGTCCCCCACTTCTTGTCTCACCCCCCCCAGACACAATAAGTCCCCCATATGGGGGACTGGAGTTCGGCCGACATGAAGTCCGGCGGACTAAAAAAAAAATCAAACGGCGGATTAAAGAAGCACTATTTTGGATTACAATCCAAATTTAGTGGATAGTCTCCCCCCTAGTCCCCAATCAAACAAGGCCTATAGTGGCTCTGCTTGGTATCCATGGTCCGATCCTCTATTTTTGGGTTCTGTAATTTTTTGGTTATTGATGCTGATTATAGCATGTTGATGCACTGAATGATGTATATATCTAATAATTATTAAGCAAAAAAGGGTTTTTAACCCAGGCTGTGGGAGCTTCGTAAAACAATTTCCTAACTCTAATTTTCTAATTTTTTGATATAAAAAAAACCCTCAAGGCAT